CCAGCCTTCTGTTAGCAAAGCCAACAGAAAATAAATTTTAGTCAAAACATTTACATCGCAAAACATTTAAATGTCACCTCCTCTAAATGGATAGTGCTTTGAAACATAGTGCTAAAGCTAACTGAGTCAATGGGGCGCTGGACTAAAAGGAAAGGCCTCTTGTGTTTCACCTCATGTTGCTATATTTAGCCTTTTGGGCTATTGAAAGCTGAATTAACTGAAACTGACAGATGTCTGTAAGAGTTTACCTAATGCTGAGCCTTCTCTACCTCCTGCAGAAGCCGCACTGCTCTGTGTGTGACTCCTCTCTCACTTCCTGTGCAAAAGATATATGAGATGTATTGTTTACATGGTGAACCAGGAGGATTTTGACTTCGACTTTATACATAGTACAAGATAATATGACAAGATGTTTGTTCTTTGTTTGTTGTTTTTTTACTGTAATGCTCATGTTTTTTTTAATTTGTGTTAGGAGGGCACGCCATAAAACATGTTCACATTTAACCAATCATACTGCAAATCTTCCCCATCATGCACTTTACCAGACAATGATTTCTGATACACTATAAGGCTATATGAAATACTATATGATCCAGTTTGCTTCCAGCAGGGACCAACCTTTTTAAGGGCCCCCTTTTGGTCTAACATTTAATCACAACACTAAACCAATGACTTCCACTGCTGTAACTTATACTACTATAACTATTGAGATCACACTCAGTATGTCACCCACAATACAATTAAAGATTGTATTTTGTCACAATAAAAGAGAAAGAAACATGCAACTGTGTCATAAGTGTTTTAGAAACAGCCTGCTTGACCACACGACGTGCTCTACCTCGTGTAGAACGCACGAGTTATGCTGACATGGAGGGAAATGAATTCGATTGTAAAAATAGCTGTCTTACAACTGTTCTCACCAAATAAGACTTTTATTGATCTCAGACTAAATCACACTCTGTCCCTTCCTTGTGCTTGGCTGTGATTGCTCCACACCTCACCTCACCTGCTCCTCATTACCTCATGAGTCACCCAGTGTACATCAGCCTGTCGTTAAAGGAGTCACATCATGCAGGAGTGAGGAAACAGGTTGCTGTTAATAGCAGAAAGGAAAGACAGAAGAAATTGACAAGGAGCGCACCCAGTCCTTCACTTCCTGAAGACAAATTCAATGCCACCCCTCTCATCTGTAGTGTTAATATGGAGCTACAGCCAGCAGTCACTTTGCATAAAGACTTGAAATCGGGGCAAACAGCTAGCCTGTCTCCCCAAATCTGCCACATCATCATCATCTGAAGCACAAACCAAGCTTGGCCCCACTTTGTTGTTCTTTGTTTGCTTTACTCTGATTTGCTGCCCAAGAAAACTTTGTCTTGTTTCCAACTGTTGCAATTGAGTCCTCAGATCTGGATTCAGAGACCTTAAGAACAGTGGTTCCCAACTGGTGGGTTGCGGGTCACCTCTGAATGGACCACAAGTGACTCGCAAATAAGTACAGTGAATTTCTGGCACAGAGTTTTTACTTTGAAGTGCCGGTTCTTGCTGATTGAGTGACTAAGGGACAGCTGCTTGACTGCCACCGCAAACTAGCTGGACGACATGACGACATGGACCTTGAACTAATGACTAAGGAGAAATCTGCACTCCGTGGCTGGACCAGTTGGGAACCACTGCACTACACCACTATGTGGATAACTTTCCTGGAGACATAGTGGAAGAGCGTTATGTATTTACCTCCGCCAAGGAGGTTATGTTTTCGCCGGCGTTGGTCTGTTTGTTTGTTTGTTTGTTTGTCTGCAAAATAACTCAAAAAGTTATGAACGGATTTTGATGACATTTTCAGGAAAGGTGGATAATGGGACAAGGAACAGATGATACAAGTTTGGTGGTGATTGGTTGAAACAAAGTGGATAAAATAATAAATAAAGTCTATCATCTGACAGCCTCAGCAGCAATTCCAATTTCTAATGAGACAGTGAAAATATCATTCTAAAGTTGAAATTAATGTTCTGTGTTGGAAAAAAAGAAAGTGAAAAATACAAAAAAACATAATATATTCTTTGTTGGTACAAAATAAAAACGAAATAAATACACCACAGTGTCTCCATGGTGAAGGCATATATAACCTAATAATGATAGTGATGCAGATAACCTAATTGTGATGTAGGCTGCAAAATCTGATGCAGAGGGGGAGGGAATATCACCTACTTGGTGGAGGTCTGCACTCTGAGTGCTTTTATAGTTGCTTCCTTTTTTTTCTTCAACCCTATTTTTCTTTGTTTTTGTGTCTAAATGACTAATAGGAACAACAACTTTTGAAGCTGGTACAGTTTAGTTTGACAGTGCTGCAGCTGGAAGCAGTGAAACAGGCTGCAATGTAACCACTTGGGCAAAATGCACTGTCACTTCATGTCCACTGAAAGTGTTTGTTTTTGTCACTGACAGTCTCAGATTGTTATTGTAAGTGTCTGACAACATTATGGAAAGGATCCCTACAGAGATAGGCCTTTTTGTTTAATCAGAAACAGCCCCAAAATGGCCATTGCCAATCCCACCAGTCTCCATTTAAATAAACTAATTTTGGAATCTTAAAACACACCTTATTCCAAGTCAACGGAAACTAAATCAAACTCATAGGAGATGTTTCAGTTCATCTTTCCACTGTTCCAACAGTCTCCAACTCTGGTTTGGTTGAAATAAACCCTTAATTCACAGTTAGATATAAAAATATGCTGGCACTATACAGGCTAAAATTACTGTTTATTTAAATGGAGTCTGGTGGGTGTCTGACAACATTTTGAAAGGATCCCTACAGAGATAGACCTTTTTGTTAAAGAGTAAGATTCTTTTTGTTTAACCAGAAACAGCCCCGAAATCGCCATCTCCAAACCCACCAGACTCCATTTAAATAAACAGTCATTTTATCATCGTAAAACACACTTCATGCAAGCCATAACTGTCTTGGTTTGATTTTCACCAGTGGCGCCTCCTACTGGCCAAGATTGCTGTCTCTAAAGGGCTGTGGCATACTTAGATACCCCGTGTAAGGGTGGGGGTACCATGATAAACTAGACAACCTAAGAAATCCTTTGGTACACATGATGTTGGCTCAGCTTGTCAGGAGGGTGGACAAATAACCCTTATGGACGGACCCTTAGGCTAAGTTTTGGCGAGGGAACAACTGGCATTGTCTCCTCACAGCAAGAGGGTTCCTGGTTTGAACCCAGGGTGTGGGAGCCCCTGTATGTGGGGTTTGCGCCTTCTCCCTGTGTCAGCGTGGGTTTTCCCAGCGTACTCCAGCATCCTCCCACAGTCCAAAGACATGCAGGTTAACTGGTGACTCTGGGGAATTGTCCGCAGTGGTGGGAAGTAACGAAGTACAAATACTTTGTTTCTGTACTTAAGTAGATTTTTCAGGTATCTGTACTTTACTTGAGTATTTATTTTTCTGATGACTTTTTACTTTTACTCCCTACATTTGATCACAAATATCTGTACTTTCTACTCCTTACATTGTCAAAATAGGCTCATTACTTGTTTCAACCTCCACGGATGACGACACAACATGGTTCTAGGCATAGGCACGATCTGCTTCATGACAAAATCATAGGCCGCCTCCAGTCGCGTTCTTATGGTTTGAGCTTGGAGGTGGAATATTATGCTATATTATTATTAGGGCTGTCAAAAAAAATTAGAAGTTCTAAATATATTCAAATATAGCCTATATATTTTTTATAAGTTCGAACCTAAGTTTGATTCGATTCTGACAGGTTTTAAAAATGCCCAAATTATTAACTTAACGGTCCTGTTACATCAGCAAAGGTCCAGACAATCCAATTCAGAAACATATTGAGTCCAAAACACATTATCACATCCATAAATATCCACGGTCAGCGGTTCATTTCTCTGCCAAGTTTCCTCCGTTTCTAAAAGTCCAGTTGCCACGGAAACAGAGACGCCGGTCCCATTTTAAGGTAGCCGCGGAACTCTGACCTTTCGACTGACACTTCACTTGACGTATTAAGAGCTTTCATGCCCTGTTCACATCCAATGTGAGCCTGTGTTGAAAGGAAGGGCCTTCCTCCATTTCTTCTTCTCAAGAATGAAACAGTTGCAACTGAGTCTTCAGGTTACTGACGCACTGATTAGCCAAAGACTTATTGTGTATCACTGACAGTAAAAATTCATTTTTACTTTTTACTTTTGTACTTAAGTACATTTCAGAGCCTGTACTTTCTTACTTTTACTAGAGTAAAGGAGTTCAATCAGTACTTCTACTTTTATCAAAGTCTTTTTTTAAACAAGTATCTGTACTTCTACTTAGAGTGTTAGTACTTTTGCCACCTCTGATTATCCGAATGTGTGCATGGTTGTCTGTCTCTATGTGTCAGCCCTGTGATAGTCTGGCGACCTGTCCAGGGTGCACCCTGCCTGTCACCCAGTATCAGCTGGGATAGGCTCCAGCCAGGTTTCCACTGTTCCAACAATCACCAACTCCGGTTTGGTTGATATTAGAACTTAATTCACCCAGTTAGATGTCCGACACTTAAAGTAATAACCTGAGTCTGTCAGTGGCAAAAACAAACACTAGACGTACAATGACGCTGCAGCTGTGCCCAGAGTGGCTACACTGCAGCCCAATTTCAAAAGATATGTTGTCGCCATGAGTCACTAAGACACAAAAACATGCGCCCAGATAGAAAAATACCAAAGTTACCCTTTTATATATACATTTAAGGATGAAGGGGAAATCTAAAGAAAATAGGAGGCTAATTTTTGTTGAGATACTTTACCCAAAAAGTCTTTAAGTTGTAGGACAAGACCAGATACGAAGTGATTAATCAGTAGAAACATGATACAGAGTCTGTGACAACAACAAAAGGTCAATGCTGAATTATTCCAGTTTACAGTTTGACTTGCTTCCTCATTGCCAAACAGAAGAGAAACTGAAACCTCACCTCACACAGCATGAGACCTCTGCGTCACACCACAAATGAACTGTCTCTGACCATCGGATGTCAACAGCAGTCCGTCGATCCAGAGGAGACACATCGAGGAGATACTCTTACTCACACAGAGGTATTTGACCTGTCTGATTAGGTTATGGTTTTTTACATTCACAGATTGTTCTGCCATTTTCTTTTAACTTAAATCATATTAGTTTCGGTGCACTTCTTTGATCTATTTTCAACTTCAAAACAGCCAGTTTCCTGTCTCTTTTATAGTTCGTTTAGTCATTTTAGATCTGTGCTTACTTTTCTTGCAGTTAAAAGAACAACATGAAACTTTCCCCTTTATTTTAGGGAAGTGCACTGCAGCACGTTTGTGGAGCTATTTCACCACTTTATATGTAATTAGGAGCACTTATTGAGAAATGTGGACACTGCAGACAAGATTCGACATCTGATGCGTCTGTCTTTCTTTCCTTTGACCCTCTGTAGTTTCCATTTATCATAAAGCACAATGTCTGAGAGCGAAGGACTTCAGCACATCCGCAGCCCTCTTCAACCTCCAGCAGCAATATTAGGTGAGAGATAGTGATGTGGAGAAGTCATGCACACTTGTGTTCATATGAAATTAATCTCATCACATGTATAAAATGTTGTCTGTCTCTCCTCAGTATGTGTCCAGGTGATCATGGGGGTCATGCCCATCGCTCAGATAGTCATAGGTAAGTGATTCACCTTTGAACTTGTTGTTTCACTGTGGATCGCAAATGTAGCCAAAAATATGGAGGCATGAAAATAACTCAAGTATCAATAGATTAATAAATAAATGAGTACAGAATACATAAAATACATGCATGAATAAGAACAGAAATAAGTAAAAAACAATACAACAAATAAACAAATGTATCGCTAAATAAATACAGGAAAGAAATACAGAAATAAATAAAAGAATGAATAAATGCATAGATAAATAAAACAAAATAATAAATGATGAAAAATGTTGCTAAACTAAATAGTTAAATGCATAAAATAAGAAAATGATTGAATATGGAACACATAAATAAATTCTGAAATGTTTAAAAAATGAATACAAGAATAAATGAATAAAGAAATAATTGCTACAATTTTAAAAAAGCTGAATAAAAGAATAAATGACTAAATAAATATATTTTTAAAATATGGAAATAAAGATAAAAGTGTAAATTAATAAACAACTGAACACGGAATAAATAGATAAATGTATTAATAAATACAGGACAAACATTTCAAATGAATGTATGAAATTTACAGAAATAAATATGAAAAAACAGAAATATTTAAAATGGTAAATAAATGATGACACATATACCTGAAAAATAAATAAATATGGAAATATATAAATGTATAAATAGATAAATAAACACAGAAATGTATAAATTAGAAAATAAAATACAGGATTAAATAATTTAAAAAGAATAAATAAATACTGAAATAAATATCCAAATAAATAAATAAATGCATAAATAAAGTGGAAATAAATATGGAAATAAATAGATAATTGCATAAATAAATAAACAACTAAATATGGAATAAATAAATTAATGTATGAATAAATACAGGAAAAAAGCAAATATATAAATGTATTAAAAAAATAATAATTAAGATAATAAATAAATGCTGGTGTAAAGACCTAAATAAATACATTACTGGCCTCAATAAATGTTGAAACAAATATGGAAATTAATAGATAAATGTGTAAATACATAACAATTTAAATACCGAATAAATCAATCAATAAATGTGTAAATAAAACATAATTAAAAAAAAGAATAAATACATGCTGAAATTAATACCAAAATAAAGAAATGCATAAATAAATACATAGAAGGATAAATGACTAAATAAATGTTGAAATAAATATGTAAGTAAATGGATAAATGTATGAATAAACGTTAACGACTAAAAAGGACAAACAAATATCCTAACCTAATTTATTTCTTTTTCCATGTATTTTTTATTTACATATTTATTTATACTTTTTTTTTTAATTTATTTTTATTTTTATTTTTTTACTTTTGGCATTTTTCACCCTCCATAACTGAAATGAAGTTCAATGATCATACATAGACGAGGCAGGTGAAGTGACGCACCTTGTGTCCTACAGGAGCAATATATCAGCATGACTGTCCGAGGCAGCCCTACATCCCCATCTACCTGTTGGTGATGGGCGTCGTCTCCCTGCTGCTGACCGTGCTCTCCATCCTGCCCTGCTGTGCCAACTTTGGGAATCAAAGCAAGACCTGGAGCTGCTTCGTCTCTCTCTTCTTCTTCTGCTGGTTCATCGCTGGTAGGCTAAAAGGCTGAAAGACTGGAGTGGTTGTCCAACAAATGTAGAATCAAGACTTTGACCCAGGGCACTGTGTGGATTTATTCCATCTATGAACCCAACTATAACAGGACGATTTCCAGCCTGGACACCTACTGCAACAAGACGCTCTACCTGTTTGCCTTCTGGACCACCAACCTCTTCTACATCCTGTTGGGTTTCATCATTTTCTGCAGCTGTTGCTCATGTCTCCTGTGTGGCAACGAATAAACACACACATGGAGTGGTCGGTGGATGGAATGACAGTAAACATAAGAATATTTGACCGTGTTTTGATGATGTTTGATTTTGCCTTTAAAGTGTGCTATTAGATTTTGTTTAAAGAACAGTAGAAAGGAGAGTCTTACATCACCTTAAAGGGAAATTTTGGTTTATTTCAAAAGTCTCCTATCGTCCTAAATTTGTTTCCAGCGACTAGTGACATAGAAATAATAGTTAGCATGTTAGCCGTTAGCCTAGATACAGTCAGGGCGCATAGTAGCGTCAGACCTGTTAAAATGTAAGTGAACGGGCAACCTTCAAGTGCAAAGTTAGTCCACTAAACAAGCTTTTTCTCCACAAAGACCGCCTCATATCGTTAGGATAAATGTCAGAGAACATATAGAAAACGACATGTAAACGTGTCGTCTTACCTTACCGGTGTGGTTCCATGTGTGTTTACCAGTTAGCTCTGCTTTCATAAGCGCGGCCGAAACATCACGAGAACAAGCAGCGATCTCATACCGTGCCTAAAATCTCACTATATTTCGGCTGTATCTAGGCTAACGGCTAACATGCTAACTATTATTTCTATGTCACGAGCCTCTGGAAACAAATTTAGGATGATAGGAGACAGGTTGAAATAAACCGAAATTTCCCTTTAATGCACCATATGGTTTATTGGTCTGTAAAATATTATAATTTACATACAGAATACAAAAGTTTTTGCAAATGTTTTGTCATAATTAGCACAAGAATTCCTGAGTTATGGGCAAAAATATGTTTAATGAGGTCACAGTGACCTTGACCTTTGACCCCTAAAATCTAATTGGTTCATTCTTGAGTCCAAGTAGACATTTGTGCCAAATTTAAGAAAATTCTTCCACAGCCTTTTTGAGATATGGCATTCACAAGAATGAGATGGGTGAACGATCACAGTGACCTTTGACCCCCCAGTCTTATCCCTAAGTCCAAGTGGATGTTTGTGCCAAAGTTGAAGAAATTTCCTTAAGGTGTTAGTCACGTCGGTACCAAACTTAAAAAAGAACCCAGAGAGTTCTTGAGATATCACGATCACAAGAATGAGACAGAAGGTCACAGTGACCTTGACCTTTGACCACTACATTCTAATCAGTTAATTCTTGAGTCCAAGTGAACAAATGTGCCAAATTTGAAAAACAACCCAGAGAGTTCTTGAAATATACCATTCACAAGAATAAGACAGAAGGTCACAGTGACCTTGACCTTTGACCTACAATGACCAAAATCTTATGAGTTCATTCTTGAGTCCAACTGCATGTTTGTGTCAAAGTTGAAAAAAATCCCCTACTGTGTCCTTGAGCTATCGTGTTAACAACAATGTGACAGAAGGAGGTCACAGTGACCTTGACCATTGACAGTTGTGAAAAAAATTGAAAATATTTCCCTGAAGTGTTCTTGACATATCACTTTCATGAGCATGAGACAAAAGGAGGTCACAGTGACCTTGACCTTTGAACTACAACCACCAAAATATAATCAGTTCATCCTTGAGTGCAAGTGGATGTTTGTGCCAAAGTTGAAGAAATACCCTTACCATGTTCTTAAGATATCCCGCTAACGAGAATGCTGAGGACGAGGTCACAGTGACCTTTGACCCCAAAATCTAATCAGTTTATTCTTGAGCCCAAGCAGACATTTGTGCCAAAGTTGAAGGAATTCCCGTAAGGTTTTCTTGAGATATTACATTAACAAGAATGCAAAGGACAAGGTTATAGTGACCTTGACCTTTGACCACCAAAATCAAATCAGTTCATCATTGAGTCCAAGTAGACGTTTGTGCCAAATATGAAAAAAATTACCCTGAAGCATTCTTGAGATATTACGATCACAAGAATGAGACATCACAGTAACCTTTGACTATGACCACCACAGTCTAATCAGCTCATCCTTAAATCCAAGTTGATGTTTGTGCCAAAGTTGGAGAAATTCTTTTAAGGTGTTCTTGATATATTGTGTTCATGAGAGTGGGAAGGACAGACAACCTGATAACATAATGCCTTCAGTGGGCATTAAAATATTTATCTATGTTTTGATGTTTGTGCCTAATAAAAATTTTACCTTAAAGTGTTTCACGTCATATTTCACTGGGAACAGTAGAATTGAGATATTAGATCACGTTAAGCACCAGATGATTTATTGATGTGCACCATTAATCACAGACATATCATAACTTACATACAAAATACAAAATATAACACTTTATAATGTTGTATGTTTTTTTAAAAATCATTTTTCACGGCAGCATTGTATAAAAATCAGGTTTGGATATTACTCATAATATTTTCACTCTTTATGTAAAGTTACATGTGATCAGAGAGAGAGTCAGAGGGCTGTCCATCTGATTGGTGGGCTGGGCTGTGATGTCAGCACGGTTTGCCCGCCAGGGTGGCCAGTGCTTTGGCGTGGATGGGCTTGTAGAGGAGGGTGAAGCTGGAGGGGCTGAGATGGCCGTTGCCCAGTGCGTCGACTTTTCCCATCAACACATAGTTGCGTCCTGGATGAGAGAAAGATGTGTCCGAATATGTCAGATACAGCTTTGTTCTACAAGTTTATGCAATGGGCGGAGACAAATAAAAGGTTGTAAATCCACATAGCTGTACTGTACCTTTAATTAGCCCGGGGCATCTCTTGCAGGTGGAGATCAGTGTGGCCAACATGATGGGCCCTGATCTGGCGATGTTCAGGCGTCCTGGCTTATAGGCCTTGATCAGGAACACCTCGACTGACACTGAGCCCCTCTCACCAGGGGTCAAAGATGTGACCTTACCCGTTATCACTGGAAGACAGAGAAATATAACAAGTTATTTCTGAAAATTTTAGTTGTTGGGACAGAGAGATTTCGTGAGGAGGAGAGGAGCAGCTGATGAGGCTCACCGAAGTCATGAGGGCAGAAGCTGGACTGGAGGGTTCCTGTCCTCTTACAGGGTTGTGTGCACACTGGGTTCGGTGGTAAAGCTGAGGGAAACACACAGCGACAAACACATGATAAGCACCTTCACTGCTCTTGATACAGGTGTGCACTAGCTGGTCTGGCTTTTAGGCAATTTTGTGGCTTACTGAGGTCATTTAATGTATTTCTTTGGTAGTTATTTGTCTCTTTGTGGTTTTTACTTAACTACTAGTTATATTTAACGTCACTGTGTTCTCGACTTTGAACCTTGTTAGGCTAACGTTAGCTTTCTGGCTCATAGTTAGGTCAAATGGTTCAATGAGCTGAGCATGCTAAGTCATATTTAAGGTTCGTCCTATTTACTGGAGTAGAGAATGGTGTTTCCATTGCATGAGAACCTTAAAGGAAGAATACTTTTTTTTTTTTTTTAGATTATTTTTAGGGCTATCTTGTCTTTAATGACAGGACAGTTGTAAGCATGAAAGGCGGAGAGAGAAAGGATATGCAGCAGAGTGCCGCGGGCACCGCTGGGCGCCCTGAAACTTTGATTTCAAAATGCATGAAAATAAAAATTAATATTCTCAGTTTTTTTTTCTTTGTCATGTAAAAATGGTATCAGCAGGATGATGCCTTTCAAGGTGCCTATGATCAGGATTTAATGTCCCCTGTGGCAGCAGCTTCTGAATCTGGCCATGGGCGTTATGAGACAATGGGCCCCTGGGCACATATGTGCAAAGGGCCCCATCATCTCTGCTACACAGGAGCAAGACACACAGGTTTTATTGTGGTTTTGTGTTTCCTTGTGGTTGTTTTGTGCTTTTTTAAAGGTAATTTAATGTATTGTTTTGGTTGTTTCATGTCTCTTTGTAGTCATTTTATGTCTCTTGGCAGTTCCCTTGCTTCTCTTAATGTTCTTTTTGTCTTTTTGTCTTTTTGTTGTCATTTTGTGTCTCCCTGTGATTGTTTTGTGTCCTATTGAGGTAATTTAATGCATTTTTTGTAGTTTTATGTCTGTTTGTAGTCATTGTATGTCTCCCTGTGGTTGATTTGTGTCTTTTTGAGGTCATTTAATGAATTTTCTGGCCATTTTGTGTCTCTTTGCAGTTCCCTTGCTTCTCTTTATGGTCTTGTTGTCATTTTGAGTCTCCTTGGGGTCATTTTGTCTTACTGAGGTAATTTTATGTATTTTTTGGTAGTGTTATGTCACTTTGTAGTCATTTTGTGTCTCCTCGTGGTTGACTTGTGTCTTTGCAAGGTCAATTTGTGTCTTATTAAGGTATTTTAATGTATTTTCTGGTCGTTTTGTGTCTTTTTGTGGTTGTTTTGTGTCCTATTGAGGTAATTTTATGTATTTGTTTGGGACATTTTGTGTCTCCTTGTGGTCGTTTTGTGTCCTATTGAGGTAACTTATGTATTGTTTGGTAGTTTAATGTTGCTTTGAAGTCATTCTGTGTCTCCTCGTGGTTGTTTTGTGTCTTTTTGAGCTAATTTTGTGTCCTATTGAGGTAACTTAATGTACTGTTTGGTAGTTTTATGTCTCATTTTGGGTCTCCTTGTGGTCAAATTGTGTCTTATTGAGGTAATTCAATGTACTTTCTGGTTTCTTTGTGGTCATTTTGTGTATTACTGCGGTAATTTTATGTATTTTTTGGGTCATTTTATTATTTTATTTTGTGTCTCCTTGTGGTCGTTTTGTGTGTCTTTGCAGTTCCTTTACCTATCTTTGTGGTGTTATTGTCTTTTTGTTGTCATTTTGAGTTGGTTGTTTTGTGTCTCACTGAGGTAATTTAATCCATGGTTCTGGCCTCCCGGTCGTCCAGTAATTTCTGTTAATGAACACCTTGTCAGGGATTACATAGAAAATCTCAGCTGCACGTGTGCATCTCTGGCCTGTCAGACTTTGTACACATTACCACACTTTCATTTAAGCAAGAAAACGTTTTGTTTCATTTCTTTAAGGGTCTTTCTAAGTAACAACATTATCAATAACAAATTGTGTAATACTGTTACACTGTGAAATTGATTTTTCTGAGATGGTTACCATACCATGAAATGCTCGTACATTAGCACTGTGCCCATACACACACATGAAAGCAAAGTGCAGATTGTTAATTATTGTCACTCACGTTTCTTGGTCACCAGAGGCTTCTTCGTCACCGTCTTGCTAACTCCAGGTTTCGGCGTCACTTTGGGTTTAATCTTGGGTTTGGGTGTAGGTTT